TTTCTTTTCCATTACTTTTCTTTTTTTTTTTTAAAAAATTTATTTTTGTGTTTTGTAGCCTCACCATGTTGCAAACATTAGAGAGCCAAACATCACACGGAGTGCCTGGAAGGGAAAGGGAATTACACTCCCCACTGTGGGCTGCCCTGCCAGGTTGCTCTCCAAGGGAGAAGTTTGGCTTCCAGTTGATGGTTTCTTAGGTCCAAATAAAATGCCACCCAAAAAGGGCCAGGGATGGGATAGAAGAATTGCCTTTTTGACAGCAGGAGCATTAAGGAAGAGTACAAGGCAGGTGAGACCTCCAATACCAGGGTGCTGGAGGGTGCTAAAGACGAGGATGATGTCTGTGGTGGTCCTGACTTGGAAAAATGAGGGTTGTCACAGCTCCCTGCCATGGTGGCTTGGGAATTCTGGTGTCCTGTGGGTTTGGCATCTGATGGGGCCATGCATAAATCATAAAATCACAGAATGGTTTGGGCTGGAAGGGACCTTAATGATCATCTCATTCCAATCCCCTTCCTCTATCCCAGGTTGCTCCAAGCCCCATCCAGCCTGACCTTGGACATTTCCAGAGATGGAGAAGCCACATCTTCTCTGAGCAACCCGAGCCAGGGCCTCAACTCCTTCACAATGAAGAATTTCTTCCTAATATTTAATCTAAAGGAAAGCAGTGCATTGCTAGTCAAAATGAGCCCCTACTCTCCAGCACAGATGGGGCATTCAAATGCTGTTTTCCCTGGCAGAGGGGTGGTTCAAGGCAACTGAGATGCCAAGAAGGAGATCCCTATCCCCAGCTTGGCTGAGGGAACTGCACCAGTCCTTTCCTGTGCTTCAGAGCCCCAAATCCCCACCCAAACTTATGGATGGACACCAACCCCCATCAGCATTTAACTCTTAGTCAAGTTCCCCCCAGTCACAAGCACCACCATCCTGCCCTTTTTCATCCCAGCAAAGTCCAGGCAAGCAGAGAACCCAGGGAATTCAGGGAAGGAGCCATGAGAAGAACTCAGGAGCATCCTGTGGATGGTGAACACTGGGATGTGATGGGGACCCCTGGGCTTTGTCTGCAGCTGCATTTGAGCCGTTCCAATCTGTGCTGCGACACTGAGCAGGACTCTCCTGCAAACCTCCAGGCCAGGTGCCAGCTCCCTTCCCTTTGAAGGCTCGCTTGGGGATGTGAATTTTCTCCAAGGGGAGGAGGCGAGCTGGTTCCGGAGACAGCCTGTCATCCATCTTGAGGAAAATACTCCTCTCTTTTTGCACCTCTCCTAGAAAGGTGGAGACCAGCATTCCACAAGCCTGGGATCAGGCCCGGAGAAAAAGCTTTGAGTCATTTGTTTACCAGCACAGGTTTTCCTGGAGCTAATTAATGAACCAAGCTGATACCCTGCAACAGGTATCGATGACAGAGGATTTCCTGCCTGCTACACTTGAGCAACGGGAGAGGGTGAATCCGGATCTGTGAGCACGCTGTGCTTCCCCTTCTCCCTCCCCGCAAAAAAACTGGGAAGGGAAAGCCACCTGCAGCCACACAGGCGCTGCTGGAAGCCCCTCTGCCATCTCCCCCTCGAGAATGGGGCACCAACCCTGCTGGACAATAATACAGATGGATTCCCAGGAAAAAAGTGCTGGGGCATCCCTTTCTCCCGCTTGCCTGGAGTGAAGGATGGTGTGAAGAGCTCCAGCAAGCCCTTGGAGCTGGGGGCTGCCCCCGTGCCCCCCAGTTCTGAGCACGGGGGTGACAGAGCTGCACACAGCAGCACTCCCGTGGAGAGCCGGTGGAAGCCTCTGCTTTCACAGGGATACTGAAACTGGGGAGGAGAGGGGAGGGGGGGAGGTAAAACATGCGGGAGAGCATGGTAAAAAAAACATGGGGAGGGGGGGAGCAAATACTCAAAGGGAAGGCGATGCTGGAGGGTGGGAAATAAACCTCACGGGTTTCGCGTTTCGGGTGC